TCGGTATGGTGTGATGCTTTTCAGACTGTGGATGTGGTCGAAGTCGCGGTTTCATCTTTAGCCTGAGCATCAGAGCTTTGTGATGGCAAGTATCGATCCGGTACCTGCCATAAATGCAAGCAAAGAGTTGCGTTGCGTCAAGGAAGAGACTAGGTACCAAAAATCTATCAAGCGAGGATTCCTGGTCTTGGTACTTGTAAGTAGGAAGTGTAGGGTCAACATCAGTGAGTCCAGCCTGCACTAGGAAGTCATCCCACGTGTGAAAATGATTTTGATCACACCGATTAAAGTCTCCTCCTACAAAGACTGGATAATCAGTCAGTGCGATAATGGTTTGTAGAGTGTTGGATACGAAAGCCTTAGGGCTGCTCGGAGGTATATAGATCGAGACAAGCCATATAGTGCAAGCTTGGTATTCAACGCGGGCAGCAACTGCGTAATGTTGAACCAAAATACGTTCTTCTAGGACCTTCCAGCCTGGAGGAAACAGGATCGCAACTCCAGCTTGCTCACCCGGATTGTGTTTGGCTAAAGTAGCAACTACTTTGATGTCAGGCCACGTGTGGGATAAGTATTGGAGATTGGCTTGATCCCATTTTGTTTCCTGTAATAATACAGGGGCCTGTTTCAACATAGCTTTGACTATCCAAGTCTTGTGCACATTGGTGGGAAGTCCAGGAGACCAGCTATTGAGATTCCAAGAGTGAATTCCTTTTACAGAGACTGGCAAATTACTCGGTCTCTGCTCCCGGAATTGTAGAATTTTGTGGCAGAGTTGCCAGAACCTCGTGGGGATGTGGCGTAGGGATTGTATTTCATTTGGAAGAATGAACGAAGTGTCGCCGACAGTCGCGGATGGGTCTGTGACTATACAGTCTGTGAACTTGCCAATATTGACTCGTAAAGAGAGGAGAGCATCAGACAAGTTGACATTGTCGTCAAAGCCACACACGTTAAGGAGGTCCTGAATCATGATCTGCCGGTATGGCAGACGGGGGTAGATAAAATGTATAAGGAAGTGGAGGGAGGAGACTTGCGTAATAGATGCATTTGTTTGTCGGTTGATATGCCAATATGCTGCTTTGAGGCCAGTAGAGAGGGTACGCTGCACTAATCGGAGAGATTTAATAGGTAGATGACATAATCGCGTCATTCAGCGTGTAGCAGTGCCTTAGCACTGTGAAAAATCTTTGCTGAAATCTGCACTGGCATCGCTGGCGTCGGCTGGCTTCCATCGATTGGTTGGTGATCTGATCCCAAAAGAATGTCTAAAATGTATGTCTTCGATTGGCATGACCGGTTGCTGTTGGATGACGTAGATGTGCTCACGCCTTCTTTCTGATTGAGGCGTCTTGCTGATTTCAGGTGCATAGATAGACCGTGAGCGCACATCGTTCGTTTTGGTGATATGATCCCAAGCATGTTTGAAATGTATGTCTTCGAATTGCGTGACCGGTTGCTATTGGATGACGTAGATGTGCTCACGCCTTCTGTCTGATTGAGGCGTCTTGCTGATTTCAGATGCATAGATAGACCGTGAGCGCACATCGTTCGTTTTGGTGATATGATCCCAAGCATTTTTGAAATGTATGTCTTCGATTGGCATGACCTGTTACTGTTGGATGATGTAGATGTGCTCACGCCTTCTTTCTGATTGATGCGACTTGCAGCTTTCAGATGCGTCCATGGAAGGCGCCACGGCCATCGCTACAGAATGAAGAGATGAAACTTTGGAAACTTTGGAATCTGTGCAATAATTTTGCTTCTATCTGATTGATGCGACTTGCCGATTTCAGACACGGTTCTTGCCAAAGCGTGATGGCCTCCAAGGTCGTTGCCTGCGCTTGTTCACGGGAGCTCAAAGCTACGTAGAGTCAACCGTATGAGTCAACCATATAAATCGATATGACCAGTATGCATCTTCCTGCTCAGGACACTTGGACCAGTTCGTCTCCGACGACCGACTCTCTGACGAGATACACACAAACGGATACACACAGATACACACTGCTGAACAGACACACACACACACAAACGCACACCTTACAAACACCTACATGCGCACAAGCGTCATGCAGCATACATCCACCCACACACTCATACACACTCACGGACAAGCGCACAATCAAACACACACCTCACCTACACACACCGACCCTTACGCATTCTATTTGTCTCGCCTGTCTCTTCCCCATGCTCACTCTTCAGCACTTTATGTCTGCAGCTTCAATCTTTCGAAGTTGTTCCCATGTGGGGTTATCCGGTCCTATAGTTTCCTGATTTGTCTTTTGAGCATGAGTCCAATGCGCTTGAGAAGGGGACGAGGGATGATCAGGAGGATTTAGTTGCCTTTTGTTCGGAGTTTGACTTGTGGGAGGCTGAGTCGAAGTTGCAGGTGAAGACCTTTATCATGTGGACGAAGAACTATCCGCAGTTGTAGAAGAAGTTGAGAAGAAGGAGATGAGTGAGAAGAAGATGATGTGGATGGACGTGAATGCATGTGGTGTGATGGAGAATATGAACCAAGGAGAACCAGAAGAATGGACAGACAGAGTGGCAGATGAAGTGCAGAAGTACAGGTGCTAGAGAAACCAGAAGGTGGCACAAAAGGAATCAGTTGCCTGACAACTCGCAATGTATATGACTGGAGAAAGAAGCTTTACCATCATAAAGATGAAACAACAAGTAAAAGGTGGAAGAGAAGACCAATACCTGCACAAAGAGTTGGGGTAAGAACATGGGTTGACTTTTCACAGAGTACCCCACCGAAGAGTTCAAGTACAAGTTCAGTGCTGAGTGTCCATGCCTAGGAAGAAATGAGAACAGAAGAGTATCATTTTGGTCCATGTGGATGACTTGACTTTCACAGGAGACTCAAGGTACACCAATGAAATCTTTCCTCCAAAGATTCAAGATAGGTCTGACACCAGTGTGAGCAAAATTGAGGAGATTGGTGATGAGTTCAATTTTCTGAGGGGGAAGTGCAAACTAGAGAAACATGGTCCAACCAGGTAGCGGGTATTGGCACAGTGAAGGGCAGACAAGAGTGGGAGAGAGTGAGAGAAAGGTGGATGATGAGAAAAATTCTTTGCAGGAAAGGTCAACAAGACTGCCAAGATGCTTGTGAGAATGGCAGCGCTGGAGGGCGTGCAATGGTTACAGAGGCATTCCTGAAAGAGGAAGAAAACAACCAGGGTGGATTAGAAGAGATGAAGGATTCCAATAACTGGAAATTCTGGATCATAGTGATCATTGCAATCAACATCATTGGTTTTGCAGCAATGACATGTGGAAAAATGCTCTTAGGACGCATGGGAATATACTCGCCTCAGAACAGATGAAGCAGAATCTCAAGAGAAAATCGCTCTTTTGCACAACTATGCCGGGAGAATTCATTGTGGATTGATTCTCAATAGAGGCTTTGTTGAGGATGAAGTACCAGACCTTCAAACAGTCATCAGGTATGATGCAATAGGAGAATTGAACGCAGGAAACTTCTTAGCCAGAAGGAATTTGGAAGATATGCAAGCGACAGAGGGACAATATTGGGGACATCGAACAATGTTGCGGGCAGCTACAGATGGAGCAACACCATCAGAAGGGCCATTGAATAGAATGTTCAAGACAGGAAGCAGGGAGATATGAATCAGAGAACAATATCTAACAGAGCAATCAAGCCAAATGTGTGGTCGACTTGAAACAAAACTGGAGCAACTCCATGAACGACATTGGAATCACATGAGAAGAGGATTGCAGAAGGCAGCATGGAGAAGTACCAAGAGTTGTTGGAGTGTGCAGTCATGAGGAGAGGTTTTCCAGATAACCGCAAAGAGAAATACCACCAATCTCTAGGAACCCCGTTCCCTTGGGAAATGCAAAAGCCTGCAGAGAACAGGAAAACTGAATGGATGAACATGGACTACAGTGGCAGAGTGAGTTCGCAGTAGCAATTCAGTTGCGCACACTACCAAGAAGGAGTGTGAAACATTCTCAGTACAGATCAGTGTCACTGTACATAGCATTATTAACATAACAGCTTGCATCATGAGATTGCACTGAAGCCTTTTTTGGATCGAAAAGAGGTTCGCAAAAAAATATTTTCTTTTCGTGAGTCACAAAGTCTTTTGCAGAACCTTTTATTGTAGGTTCATGGTGCATCTTTGTGCATGTGCACAAAATACAGAATGTTGTAATGATGGTTTTTGTCGAGTCAGCAAAAGGTAGATGGTAGATGTTAATAGTTTCTTTTGGTGGCACAATAAAAGGTTTGTGCATGCTGCCTCGAAGCTATTTGACAATCAAATTT